AGGGCCTTCGTGAAGCCGGTTGTCTCTAAGGAGGCTTCAAGAGAGACCTTCGACAGTGGCTCCGAGAGGCCATCAGGGGGTCTCGGGGGTCCCAAGATGGGTTCCGAGTGGCCCACGAGGGCCCCAGAGGGTGTCTTGGGGAGCTCACCACGGCCCCAAGATGGCGCGAAAACGCTGGGTGATATCCGGAGAGGGCTGCCACATTGACCCACGAGAGCCGCAGAGAGCGTTCGATGACAACAACATGGCGGCACGAGGACCACCCGAGTCTTGATTCCTCAGGGCAGCGATCACGAGCAAGTGGGCTGGGAGACTGCGCTCCCCTGCAAGCATATCCAGCTGCTTGGAGCAAGCCCCGCCACCGTGCTTGCGCCACTGCGCAGCAGGACGGTGGTTGAGGTCAGGAACAGCGCAGTTCTGACGAGCGGTCAGACTGGGACGGGTGGTGAACTCGACCTCGTCTTCGTCCATGCGGTAAGGGGGAGGTCGAGTTCACGCCCCGCTGCAGTTCAGCGAGCGGTCTGAATTGCTGCAGTTCGCGAACTCGACCTCGTCTTCGTCCGCGCAGTAGGGAGGAGGAGGAGGAGGAGGAGGAGGAGGAGGAGGAGGTGAGGGAGAGCAGGAAGACAAGGAGACGACCTCATATGGGCTCTCTGCGGGCTTCCTATAGGAGCCTGCCGACGGGCCTCTTGGGGGGCCTCTGGGGTGCCTCTCGGGGCCTCCCCCTCCCTCCCCCTCCCCCTCCCCCTCCTCCTCCTACCTCCTCCTCCTCCTCCTCCTCCTCCTCCTCCTCCTCCTCCTCCTATCCTCCTCCTCCTACTCCCTCCTCCTCCTCCTCCTCCTCCTCCTCCTCTCTCCCCTCCCCCTCCCCCTCCTCCTCCTCCTCCTCCTCCTCCTCCTCCTCCCCTCCTCCTCCTCCTCCTCCTCCTCCTCCTCCTCATCCTCCTCCTCCTCCTCCTCCTCCTCCTCCTCCTCCTCCTCCTCCTCCTCTCCTCCTCCTCCTCCTCCTCCTCCTCCTCCTCGCTCCTCCTCCTCCTCCTCCTCATCTCCTCCTCCTCCTCCCCTCCTCCTCCTCCTCCTCCTCCTCCTCCTCCTCCTCCTCCTCCTCCTCCTCCTCCTCCTCCTCTCTTGGGGGGCCTCGTGGGCAGCTCTCGGGGGCCCTTGGCCCGCCCGACGCCCTCGGAGGCCGCGCTCGGGCCCCCTCGCGGCCACCTCGGTGCCCTCTTTGGAGCGCGCTTTTTGGGCCGCCGGGGCTCCTCTCGTTGGCCGACCTGCGGCCGTCGTTTGGAGGGCCTCGTCGGCTGTGTTGGGGCTGCCGTTTGGATGCCCAGTGGGCCTGTTGGAGTCGGAAGATTTGGCGGCACGCGATAGGAGGCCGCAGCAGCGTGTTCAGAGGGTGGCGGCAAGGGGAGCGAGAGTTTGAGTTTCAAGCATGTGTCAGGCGAGCGTCGGGTGTGTTTGATAGCGTGATGGATTTCAGCAGCGGAGATGCAGATCGCTCCAACAGGGAAGGCATGACAAGCGCACGAATGGTAATCGATTTCGATCCCTTGGAGGCAAGTTTGTAAAGCCTGTCACCCCGCAAGCAGTCGGCCACACTGTCTGGATCGCCTTTGGCGTCGATTGGCCTTGCATCAGCCAAGCATCCACAGCGTCGACGCTGTATCTCTTGAGTTCGGCGTGGTTCTCCCCGAGCCCCGTTCCGCTGGCCGCCGCTGCCACTGCCTCGCAGCGCCGCCAGCACCTGCCGCCCGCCCTCGGCGGGGGCCAGACACATGCTTCAAGGCTGCACAATCGAGTTCGATTGCCAGGTCGGCCCTGCCGAGGCAAGGGTACTTTGGATGGGGCAATAGTCGCCCCACCCTTGGATCCGCCAGGGGGGGGGTGCACGTGCTGTCGGAGCGGGTGGAGGGGGGGGGGCGGGAGAGGAGGAGGAGGAGGAGGAGGGGGAGGAGGATGGAGTGGGGCGGTTGGGCAGGCTCAGTCAGAAGGTGAATCAACCCTCCTTTATAGTTGGTCTGTGTATGCATGTGTTTTGGGAGAAAAAGAAGGAACGAGAAGGAGAGAAGACGGAGGAGGAGCGAGGAGGAGGAGCAGGATGAGGCAGAGGAGGAGGAGGAGGCGGAGCAGGAGGAGGGGGAGGAGGAGGAGGGAAGGTGGAAACAAACGGTACCCTTGTGTGTCCCGTGTTGGCCGCTGTCCCCATCACGTGCTGCACGCCGAGAGCTCGGCGCCTGAGGCCGCTTGCGCTCCCCTCGCTTGGCCGACCCTGAGCGACGGTCGGGCTCCTTCCTCCTCCTCCCCCCTCCTCCTCCCCCTCCTCTCCTCTCCTCCTGCTCCTCCTCCTCCCTTCCTCCTCCCTCCTCCTCTCCTCCTCCTCCCCCGTCTCCTCTCTCCTGAGATGTGCCAATCATTAGTTGCGCACCCCCCCGCTGACGAGGTCGTGCATTTTGCTCCCGAGGAGAGCCGAACCTCCTCCTCCTCTCTCCTCCTCCTCCTCCTCCTCCTCCTCCTCCTCCTCCTCCTCCTCCTCCTCCCCCTCCTCCTCTCCTCCTCCTCCTCCTCCTCCTCCTCCTCCTCCCCCTCCTCCTCCTCCTCCTCCTCCTCCTCCTCTCCTCCCCCTCCTCCTCCTCCTCCTCCTCCTCCTCCTCCTCCTCCTCCTCCTCCTCCTCCTCCTCCTCCTCCTCCTCCTCCGCCTCCTGTTCCCTTCTCCTCCTCCTCCTCCTCTCCTCCTCCTCCTCCTCCTCCTCCTCCTCCTCTCCTCTCCTCCTCCTCCTCCTCCTCCTCCTCCTCCTCCTCTCCTCCTCCTCCTCCTCCTCCTCCCTCCCCTCCTCCTCCTCTCCCCCCTCCCCCTCCTCCTCCTCATCCTCCTCCTCCGCCTCCTCCTCCTCCCCTCCTCCGCCTCCTGCTCCCTCCTCCTCCTCCGCCTCCGCCTCCGCCTCCTCCTCCTCCGCGCTCCTCCTCCGCCTCCTCCCCCTCCTCGCTCCTCCTCGCTCGTTCTTGTTGCCCACCTTCCCCTGCGCTGCGCGCCAACGGCGCGGCCGGCAGAAGTGACGACACCCGCGCAGGCGTCCAGCGCCGCCGATGAATTGTGTCGTTTGTGTTCAGCGGCCCAGGATATGCCAAAAATAATTTTCTGGGGACGATGTTTCTACTATAGTCGGTCATGGTTGACTAGCTGTTGGTTCGTATTCATTGTTCCCCGAATACCAGCCTTTAGGAGAGCATGCCCGACCTGAGTCTTGCGTTCAGCGAACCACGCCTTTACATTCCTGTGGCAATGTGGCCACCAGCTAGGTCTTGTGTCCTCTCGCACGTCCTCCCCCCAATCAAGCTCGACTGCAGGGCTCCTCTGCTGCCCTGCCCCCTGAAGTGGCCCCTGCTGGGGCGCTCCTGCTGCCCGCTGCCCCGGGCCGCACCCCATTCCCCCCGCGCTTCCCTGTGCCTCTCCTGCGTCACCTGGCCCCCTGCCGCACCCGTTCCCCTCGTTCCCGTGCCCTGTCCCCGTACACAAGTGCCCCCCTCTTCCATGGGTTGCGTCTCTGTCTCTCTCTCTCTCTCTCTCTCTCTCTCTCTCTCTCTCTCTCTCTCTCTCTCTCTATCTATCTATATATATAGATCTCTCTCTCTTTCTCTTTTTTTTCTCTCTCTCTCTCTCTCTCTCTCTCTCTCTCCCTTTCTCTCTCTCTCTCTCTCTCTCGCTCTCTCTCTCTCTCTCTCTCTCTCTGCGCCACACCGCCCCGTGGCCATCCAAGCGAGCCCGGGCAGCCAAGAGGGGGCGGCATCCTCCCCGGGATGCGTTGCCCCCGTCGCCCCCCTGCCCCCCGCCCCCTTCCCCTCGCCGCCTCTTCTGCCCCATTCCTCTCCCAGGAGGGCGACGAGGAACCGGGGGGGGCGTATATATATCTATATATATATATATATATATATAAGTCGGGCATGCTTCTCTACAGGAGGAAGAACATTCAAACATAGTCTGGGGACGAGTTTCCTACTCTGCTGATTATGTCTTCCAAAATCCGCCTGTAGGAGGACATGTCCGACCAAAGCGTAGATTTGCGTGGGCCTGCCTCGGCGGCAAGTATTTGCTCGGCACGCGCGGGTCTCAGGAAGAAGAGGGGCACAAGCTCGAGACAGTGCCTTTCGATCCGACCGACCCGATTCGACATCGATGCTTGGCCAGCTCGATCCAAGTCAGTCCCGATGGTCCGACGATCCGACGTGGTCCGGTGTTTGCATGGCGTTGTTGTCATCATCGGCGCAGCCGATCCAGTTCGATCTCGACTCCGTGCCGATGCCGCCCGATCCGACGCGCATTCCGACGCGATATACGCTTTAGCCATTTGATGTCGGCTGATCTTGCAAGCGAGAGTCTGGCAAGTTGCTGAAGACCGTGTCGGCCACGCGCAGAGGGGGGAGGAGGAGGGGGGAAGCCTTCCTAGAAGCACCCCTGGTTCTCAGAGGGTGCGGGCCTTGTCTAAAGATTTAAGACCGGCGCCCTCTAAGAAGCAGCCTCCTTCTAAGAAGACGCACCCCCTCCCCCTACCCCCTTGTGCGCGCCGCCGACCGTGAGCGCGAGGAGAAGATTGCGGGAGGCAGCAGCAGGCCAACGATCGAAGAGGCCAAAAGAAGTCGAGGCAGACATTCGGGGGGCAGTAGCCGAGGCGGACATGTTGGATGCGCAGCTGAGGAGGCCAAGGCGCGCGATGTCCGAGGGGCAAGGGGAGGAAAACACGGGCCTCGAGGCGGGATGAGAAGGGAGGCATCGTCTCTCTCCCCGTCTCTCACTCTCGCTCTCCCCCTAATGCCTGCCACCACAACCGGTCTCCCCGTTCGCCCATGCCCCCCAGACCCTGCGAGGGAGCGCGACGGTCGCCCTCGGTCTGGCTGGCTGGTCTCTGTCTCCGGAGAGCCGCGGCGGGTGGTCGACGCTGCCCTCGGGCGGCATTCCTGGCGCGGGCGGGGCAGATTCGGTCTCGGACGCGGGGCGCCGCGCGCAGGTGATCGAGACGCAGTTCCCCGCCGCCAAGGCTCCCCTCCCCTCTTCCGCCTGGGCGTCGCCTGTCTTCCTCGCCCACCGCCGTCCGCGAAGTGCTGATGTCAGAGCGTGAATTACCTTCCCCGCTTTCGCTTCCAGGCAAAACCAAGTCATACCACACGCCCCTTTGTCAAGCGGCCTGACCAGTACATGCCGTAATTTGGCATCGTTTGGTATCTCTTGGAAGCGAGGGTGGTCAAAAGCGAGGTAGGTTTGTTTTCCCCCTATGATGGCCGGCGTGAAGAAGTCGGGTGGCAGAAGCCATGATCAAACAGGTGAGCCGCGCAGAAGAACGGGGTCGTCTTCACCGGCAGTTGCGCGCAAGCTGCCCGCGCAAGATCACGCGTGAGCGCCCTCGCCTTCGGATGTGGCGTGCCGCGCTGGCGGCCCGCGCCAGCCGCCGCGTAAGGCCCCTTGTGGGTGATCGTCTTTTATTCATTGGTTTGCCGATCGGCGCGGGCCCTCGCACCCCCCCCCTCCCCCCCCCTCCGTGGAGTGGATCTTGGCTGCTTTGTTGGCGCCTGTTTTGAGCAGGTGGAGCCCCCTCCCCCCCATAGCATGCACGGCTCCAAACAGTAGCTCTAAGCAGAGGCCCGGAGCCAGCCCCCCCCCCCTTCCGCCCACTGTCGAAACGCCGAATAAAACAACGGTCACTTAAGCGTCGCTCAAAAAGTGCTCCCGTGCATCTCCCTGCTCCCGGTCAGGCCTTCCGTTCTCTCGTCCTGCTCCTGAAATTCCTCTTGCAGGGGAGTGGCACCCTGCTCCACCAGCATAGTGGCTCCTCTTGCCCGGCCTCGTTCTGGCTGGGCTTCAGTCGGGCATGTCCTTCTACAGGAGGAATATTCCAAAATTGTCCAAAAATAGACTGAGCGATGTGTTTGACTATTTTTGATTCCTTTGGGGCATGTTGTTGGCATTGCTCTTCGTCCAAATCCGCCTGTAGGGGGACATGCCCGACCTATAAGGGTTGGGCTCGCCCTTGCCTCCCCTTCCCACCAGCGGCTCCGCCCGCCGGATCCCGCCGCCCTCCTCCCGTCCCTCGGGCCGGACGACAGGGGGGGATTGGGAAAGGGGGGGTTACGAAATTTGCGGCATGCAGCCGGTTTCGGCCCCACCGAGGGGCCCCTTCCCCGATACATGAGCGCCTCCGGCGCCGGGAGGCGCCGGGAAAATCGGCTGCGTGGGCTGATTCTCAAACCCCCCCTTTGTTGTCCCCCCCCTTTCGCCCGGCCCGAATCTCCCGCCACTTCCCATCGGAGGTCCGCGCGGACCTCTCGGCTCGGCACCCGGCGCCTCCCCCGGCGGCGCGCTCCGCGCGCCACCCCCGGGCGGCACCCCTCCGCGCGCCACCCACGGAGGGGGGGCGGGGGTCACAAACCCCGCGACTTCTGGAATTCTTCCAGGGGGTAGAACCAAGCTGTGTCCCCAATCCGTAGGCGTGTGAGGACACCACGCAATTCGAAGAGCTGCGGCGACCGTTGTTCAGGAGCGGTCCCTCCCGGCCCCACACGTAACGTCAGGGCATAGCATCACATGCAGATACGCGGTCTCTGGGCGTCCCGACCCATGCGCGGTCTCCGGGAGGCTCGACCCATTCCCCCGGGGCCAGTTGTTTCTTCTCGGAGTCGTTCTGTGGACGGTCCTGGGTTACGGCGAGGGCTCCTGGAGGCCGAAAATGGCAAAAAACAGCAGCAGCAGCAGCAGCAGCAGCAGCAACAACAACAACAGCAGCAACAGCAACAACAGCAGCAGCAACAGCAGCAGCAACAGCAACAACAACAGCAACAACAACAACAACAACAACAACAATCATTTTACCCGAACGCTCAGTGTTCTCCCCAGTGCCAGGGTTTTCATGCGACGCCAGCCAATACCCCCACTTCGTGGGGGGGCAATGCAAGCTCTACCAAACATCCACACGACTCTAGGGAACCACCCACACCCAGCTTCCCGCCCTATGACGTCAGGACACTTCACTTCGTGGCGCGCGGACGATCGTGGATACTACACTGGCGTGGAGTACACACCCGCAGAGGTTGATCACTTGTTTGGGCCCCGCATGTGCCCCGCATCGTGCATTCGTTGCGCATGACATAGAGAGAGCAAGACAGAGAGAGAGAGAGCAAGACAGAGAGACAGAGAGAGAGAGAGAGAGCAAGACAGAGAGCCAGAGGAGAGAGAGATAGAAAGAGATTCGTCACATGTGTGAGGCAACCTGAGAAGATGTGGTACACGGTACACGTGAGATGGTACGCACTGCCAAGATAGTTGGTCACATTTTTGGGGCAATTTCCTGGGAAGGCGATGAAGCAGAAAGCGAGATAGATGTGTTCATATGATAGATATGAAGCAGAGAAAGAGCGAGAGACATAGAGAAGGAGAGAGAGGAGTCGGTCACATCTTTAGGGCAACTTCCTGAGGGATGTGGGAGGACACAAGAGAGAAGGTATCGTTGTCCCGATGGTTGTCTCGATGGTTGCCCCGATGGTTGTCCTGATGGTTATGGTTGTCCCGATCGTTTTCCCGATGCTGGTCCAAATGGTTGTCCCGATGGTTGTCCCGATGGTTGTCCCGATGGTTGTCCCGCTTGGGGTCCTCTTGAGCTTTGGGGGGCTTCTTGGAAGCATCTTGGGGCCTCTTGGGAGCTTAGTGGGTCCTCACGGCGGGCTCTTGAGGCCTCTTGAAGGCCTCCTGGGGCAACGTATGGCGCAACCAGTAGGGAGCGTTTTATTCTCGGCGGCCGAGGGCGCAACCTATGGCGCAACCAATAGGAGGGCGTTCTCGGCGGCCGAGGGCGCAACCTATGGCGCAACCGCAAGGGATTCGCGAACCCCGTTGCAAGAGCGTGCGAAAGTAGCTCGCGCGAGCTCATGTAACATAAATGTTGGAAAACCATTGGTTTTTTGAGGATTCGGACAGCGCGCGCGGGTGGAAATTTTGAAAAGTCGTGCAGCTGTTTTTCGAGGACCTACGGTGCGATTCGTGTGATTTTATGATGCGCGGTGGTAAAATTCTTAAAAACCCAATGGTTTTTGTAGATTTCGGCGTGCGCGCGCGAAGAAAAAACGAATGTGTCCCGCATGGTATTATTTGACAGGGATGATGGCCCTGGCAGGTGCGCAACCGTTGTCGCAGAAGTTTGAAAAAGTTGCTCGCAAAAGCCCGTTTGACAAAATTGTTTAAAAAGTGATGGTTTTCCTACGAATCCGCAAGAGCGCGCGGGATGAGATTTTGACAATTTTTTATTTAAAAAACCATTGGGTTTTTGATGTTTTTATGTTGAAATCGCTCCGAAACCTAAGGTTTTGGAAGGATTTCGTCTTGCACGCGCGAATGTCCACTTTAGCTTATTTTTTGCAAGGGATTCTTGAAATTGGATTACATTTGAACAAGAAATTTCATTTTATAGTGTTTTTTGCAAGGGAAAGCGGGGGGGAACAAAACAACCGGATCCGGTACTAATCCACTTTTCTGAAGCTTTCGCGAAAAAATAATGAAAATGCAGCTGCGGCCTAGGTTTTGGAGGGGGGTCGTGTACCAGGGGTCCCAACAATAATTATTCTTTAGAAGTAATAATGTTCAACAGCAACAACAGCAACAACAACAACAAAAACGTGCTGAATGTTTCACGACGCGTGCATGTCGGGGTTCAGTGCCGATCCATGAAATCCACGCGTGGACTCCACAAAAGCTTACTAGCCGGCCGCTCTGCGGTGGATCGGGACCTTCTGCATGTAGAACTGACTTAAGGTTAAGTCGGGCCTGTCCCCCTACAGAAGGAATATCCAAAAGTAGTCCAAAAATAATCATGGGACGATATTTTGACTATTTGGTTGACCTTTTTTGAATATATATATATATATATATATATATATATATATATATAATATATATATATATATATGTCTGATAGGTTTCGTCCCCCATAGGGGAGCGTCGGGGCCTCTCGCGCGCCAGGGGTCGTCTGTAAGGGAGGTCTCGAGGGAGGGCCCCGCAGGGGGGCGCGCCTGGTGCGCCACATGGCGCGCCCCGCGGCGCGCGCGCCCGAGGGCCTCCTCGGAGAGAGCGGCTCCGAGGGCGCCGGTTCGGAGTTCCTCGCTAGGGGGCCACATGCGAACCCTACCCCTACCCCCCCACGATTTCTGAGGGGGAGGGTGGGGTTCACTTCACTCGGGAGCTCCCGAACGAAGTGAACCCCACCCTCCCCCTCAGAAATCGTGGGGGGTAGGGGTAGGGTTCGCATGTGGCCCCCTACTCGCGGGTTGTCCTGGACGTCCCGGAATGGGAGCAAAGGGGGCCTCTGGGGGCCTCTTTGGAAAGAGAGAGGCTCCGAGGGCGCCGGTCGGGAGTTCTTCGCGGGCTGCCTTGGACGTCCGGAAATGGGAGCAAAGGGGGCCTCGGAGGGCCTCCTCGGGGAGGCTCGGGGGGTTGGTTTTCGGAGGACGTCCCACGCGAGGGCGCTCGTGCGGAATTCACCGCCGGATCTCCTGGCCTTCCCGGAGATGGAGCAAGGGAGCCTCCTCGGAGGACCTCCTCGGGGAGGCTCGGGGGGCCAGTTTTCTAAGGACGTCCCACGCGACGGCGGCAGTTGGGAATTCGTCGCCGGTTCTTGCCTCTCCCGCATCCTGTCGCCCCGACGTCACGCGCGTTGCTCCCGCAGTGGCAACGCCCCCCTCCCAGGCACTTCGCATCCCCTCGGGGAGGCCTGACCTCTGGAGAGGCGCGGGCGTATGCCACGCTCATTGCCGCGCACCCATGGTGGCCCACACCTTGCGTATTCCGCACCCCGCAGGGATGGCCTTTCAAGACCGTGGTGCGCGGGCGCACAGTGCTTGACATTCTTGGACCTCCTCGCCTTGCGAGAAAAAACACGACGAAGGGCTCTTGGCCGTCTTCGCTGTTCTGGGGCTTGTCACCCATCCCTGAGACCGTCACAAAGTTACTCGGCATGAAATGTTGGTCCACGCTGCAAATCAAAGAGATTCAGTTGTCATTCCAAAGAGAACGAGGACGTCGGAGCTCTGGGCTCCCAGGAGGCCAGCCTGAGGCCCCACTGGTGCGCGAACCATGTTGCAGACTGGTTCGGCGCAGGCTTCCGTGCGTGATGGCATGAGCGGCGGCGTGTATCGAACCGGTATGGCATACACGCCGGTCGTTGAAAGCAGGCATTTCTGGATTCCTAGATTCTAGTCTATATTAGGCGCCTTCCTACTTCAAGGATCGAGTGGTTTTCCTTTTTTCGTCGTCTTCAGGGGGCGGGCGAAAGCCCAATCTACTCCCAACGCCTTCCTACTTCATGCGTCTACCCACTTGTTCCGACCAGGGGTCGACCTGAACGGTGTTTGGGCGATGTTGTGGGCCGTGTTCGTTTCGACTTCGTTTTGCAGAACAGGCGGATTGGAGGAGACAAAACGAAAGAGAACGAAGACAACACGAAAACGAGAAACGCTGTTACGGTCGAGCCCTGCTGCCCACCGACGTGTACGGTCGGCGTCGTCCAAGGCATGGCCACACCTTCTGCTCTCGCGGGGAGGCTGGCGTCCCCCAGGTTGCGGCCCCGCGGGCCGCAGCCTGGCGGGCGCTGGCGCAGCCGTGCGGGCGCTGGACGGGAGGGCTGCGGCGAGGGAGAAGCGTGGGCCAGCAAGAAGGCGCACGGCGCTGTGAGGGGGTGCCTGCGGAGAGGAGGAGGATGTTGCCGGCAGGTTTGATCACCACGGTCATCAGGGGGCGTACAGTTGCGGCGGGTGTCTTTGCTTGTGTATCGTCGTGCCGGTTCTCCCGAGGCGCAGTTGGAGAAGTTGCAGTCGCAGATCTCGCAGGCCCTCGATCGCATCAAGTCCAAGGAGGCATCATGCAGCGGTGCCAGGAGGAGGAGGAGGAGGAGATGGGCAAGGACGGGAGAGATCATGAAGAGGTATTTCATTCAATCCCTGCTGACATTTCCATGGTCTTGCTGTGCGTCCCTGTGTCGGGCTGCGGGATACGTTTCATGTCGGCCCTGTGCACGTGTCACACACCCTGGTGGCACCTGCCATGTTAGCGCCGCGAACTGTACATAGCAACTCTGTCCGTGCGCGATCAATGAGAGCTCCCCAGCCGCACAGCCCCCCGCATCGGTTTAGGAGAAACAGAGATGCATGAAGAGGCGAGGTGAGTAAAGAAGATGGGGTTCGAGAGCTGATCTGGACCAGGATGATGAAGAGGAAGCGCCAGGAGGAAGAGGAGGGAAGAGTAACAGGAGGAGGGATCTGGAGCAGGAGTCGGATGTTGAGGCTTCGCTGCCACTTGCGACCGCAGGGAGAGGAACAAGTCTAGACATACGGAGCGTTCCAAGAAGGGCCTCGACTGCGAGGGTAAAAGGAGTCGTCGTCTCCTCCGCGGCGGAATGGCGGCGGAAGGCTGGCGGAGGAAGAACGGACAAGGCCTTCCTCCGCCGGCGGAGGGTCAGCGGAAGGCGGCGGATACAAAAAAACGTCCCTAAGAGATGAGAAACGTTTTCGGGGCTCAGGGTTTCCAACTCCTCCTCCTCCTCCTCCTCCTCCTCCCCCCTCCTCCTCCTCCTCCTCCTCCCCCTCCTCCTCCCCCCCTCCTCCTCCTCCTCCTCCTCCTCCTCTCTCTTCTCCTCCTCCCTCTCTCCTCCTCGTGCCCCCCCCCCCCCGAGGTTGCGCCTGCCCGCTGCCAGAGGGCACGAAGGAAAGGGTGGCAGAAGAGGACTAGCGAGAGAGAGCCCAGCGCGGGCAGGCGAGGGAGACAGGCGCAGGGAATGTCATCTCGCCTCCAGGGGGGAGCTCGCAGGGCGCAGGCGGAAGGGCCAGCGGCGCGTGGCCTGGGAGGCTTCTTTTCCTGGCGCTCGGTGGCACCGTGGGTGTGGATGGGGGAACGAACAATGACATAAACACAAAAACTCGGAGCTCCGCGCAGATTCCTCGGATCGGCGCGGGAGCCCCCTGGCGACGCCTCCGGCGCCGCCCCTGGCGCGCTCCGCGCGCCAGGAAAGGGGGCCCAGCGCCGATCCGAGAGATCCGCGCGGACCTCCGAGTTTTTATGTTTCTGTCATTGTTCGTTTACCTAGTGGAACCCCATAGGCGCCTCGATACGTTTACAGTCAACCCGCACAGTGAGGAGGAGCAATTACCCCTGCATCATTCCCCTTGGCCCTTCGGCCTATGCTTGGCCGCTTCCGCTGGCCGCGCCCCCTCGCAAAGTGTCGACATGGCCTTCCGAGGCCTTTTGCATCCTCACCGCACAGCCTCATGATACAGGGGTGTCTGTATAACCAGGCCAACGGCCCGTCGATGTCGAAGCCGAGGGCGCACCCTATGGGGGAAGGCGGAAGGTGGGCAAGGGTTAGGTCGGGCATGTCCTTCTACAGGCGGATGTTGGAAGAAAAATCACGAATGGTCAAACAATATTCAAAATTCCCCCCCCCCCCCCCCCCCCCGAAAAATACACGAAAAATCGTTCCCATGCTTTTGTTCGACTGTGTGTGAATGTTCCTCCTGTAGAGGGACACGCCCGACTTGGGGCAAGGGTCAGTCTTTGGGGGAGCGCGGCCGAGGCCTTCATCAACGAGAAGTTCGACCACCGCGCGCTGGACTACAGGACGCAGCAGGAGGAGTTCACGCAGGCACGCGCCCTCTCTGCCGCCGCCGGCCGCCCCGCCCTTCCTTCTGGCGAGGTGCAGCACGCGGCCAGGACCCCGAGGCCAGGCAAGGATCAGCATCGTCTGGCCCATCCCCATCCCCACTGGGCCACGGTTCCTCCCAGGTGGGGATAGGCCCCGCGAAGCCCCGAGGAACATGCACAGATGTTCTCAGGTCGAGGGTTCACAGGCCTCCCCCCCAAGATGGGATGGGCCCCAGTCGGGCCGGGCGAAAGGGGGGGGATTGGGAAAGGGGGGGTTACGAAATTTGCTGCATGCAGCTGGTGTCGGCCTCACCGAGGGGCCCATTCCTCGATACATCGCCGCCTCCGGCGTCGGGAGGCGCCGGGAAAATCAGCTACGTGAGCTGATTCTCAAACCCCCCTTTTGCTATCCCCCCCTTTCGCCCGACCCGACACAGGGTTCACCAACCCCCCCCCAGATGGGATTGGGGGGGAGGACGAAGACGACGACGACGCCGACGCCGACGCCGACGCCGACGACGACGACGACGACAACGACGAAGACCACGACGACGTCGACGAAGACCACGACGCCGACCAAGACGACGACGACGACGACGACGACGACGACGACGACGACGACGACGACGACGAACCACACCACACCCACGGGGCGAGGGAAGGGGGGAGGGTGCACTGGCACCCTCCACCGCGCGCCGCGCCCGCCGTCCCCGAGCGCGCTCCACCACTCGCAGAGTGCCTGCTCGCAGGCGTCCGGAAGACACCGGGGCGCACTTCGCTGAAGTGTACCGTCGCCCCGCAGAGGAAGGATAGGCCTCCCTCCCAAGGGTACCCTTGCATCCTTGCCTCCTGGGTCCATCCTGGGACACTTTCGTTGGCCGCGCCCCGCTCGAAACGCTTCGAGACGGGCGTCCAAGGGCCTTGCAGCCTTCTCGCGCATCCTTACTCTGCGGGTCGACTGCATCGTGTCAGGAGGGAAAGAACAGCACAGGGAAAGAACAGCACAGCACATCGTTCATCGTCGACCCCCAGGAGAAAATATAGGAAAATAGGGGGAAGACGAAAACCCAGAGAATATGGCAAAAACAGTATGGGGAATACTGGGATTTGTGTTTATTGGTTTGGGTGTCCCTGGGCCCCCTGTATCGCAGATTCCCCGCGGCGGGCCCAGGCCATTGGCGAGTAGTTATTTTGCGAGCAGTGGAGCGCGCCACGACCACAGGGGGGGGGGGGGGAGGGCCGGCGGGGGCGATCCCATGCGCGAGGCCTTCTTCGCGTGGCCCCCGGGCGTGCCCAACCTGGGGGGATGGGGGGGCGGCTCGACCCCACATGCGGTTAGGGGGGGGGGAGGGGTCTTGGGTTCGCTCGGGTCCTCCTCCTCTTGATCCTCCCTCCTCCTCCTCCTCTCCTCCTCCTCACTCCTCCTCCTCCTCCTCCTCCTCCTCTCTCCTCCTCCTCCTCCTCCTCCTCCTCCTCCTCCTCTGGGCAACCCTGGATCAGATGTCCCCACAAAGTGGGCCAGCAGGACCGAGGCCGCGCCAGTGGGGATAGGGATCGGTCCAACGGTGCTCAAAGGAGGGGGGCCGAGGAGGAAGGGGAGGAGGGACTCGGGGTCGGCTGGCCTCGCAGTGCCCAGGAGCGCGCGCGGTCGGACGAAGTCTGCCTCGGGGTTGGGGGGGGTCAGGCAGGCCCTTCCAGACGAGGATACGGTAGGCTCGCGTCGTCTCGACCCGCGGCGACCCCGCCGCCAGCGTTCAGCATTGAAAGTCGGTCAATGTGGAACGATCTGACGTTTCGGAAACGGCCGGTCGTTCAAGCTGGGAAGGGCCCCCCGCGGTGTCAGGAACCGACGCCGGGGTCGACGCGACACGAACCTGCCGTGAACCGTTCCGAGCCGAGACGCGTGCGCGTCGCAAGGAAAGTCACGACGGAAGGTTTGTTGTCGAAGAAGAAAAAACGCCATAAACATTAACTGTTGGCGCTCCGCGCGGATTCCCTGGATCCGTGCTGGACCCCCCTCCCGGGCGCGCGGAGCGCGCCGGGGGCGGCGCCAGAGGCGCCGCTATAGGGGGGCCCCAGCGGAGGAGGAGGAGGAGGAGGAGGAGGAGGAGGAGGAGGAGGAGGAGGAGGAGGAGGAGGAGGAGGCGCCGCCAGGGGGGTCCAGCGCGGATCCCAGAGATCGGCGCGGAGCGCCACAAGTTCATGCTTATATGGCGTTTTTCCTTGCTCTGCTGTTGGCCGTCTTCGGTCTGCGGCCTCGGAGGGCCCTTGCCGGGCCCCGGGACTCCGGGCCGTCCACAGAACGCCTCGCGGGGGCAGTCGGAGCGGCCGCGGCGCGCCCGGTGCACCCTCCATGGACCCGCCAGGTCCACAGACCGGTGATGATTCCTCCCCAGAGATCCGATTCGACTACACACAAGAGCGACCCTTCGCCAGAGTGACCTTCGGTGCGGGCTCACTGGGGTCCCCCCGACCGCTGAGCGCGATGCGATGGTGGCTGCTTGCGCCCTTAGATTCGGCCACCTTACGCCCCCTCAGTCCGCGCACCAAAGGTCACTCTTACCCAGGGTCACTCTTGCGTATCGCCGACCGATGTCTTCCCCCCCTCCTCCTCCTCTCCTCCTCCTCCTCCTCCTCTTTCCTCCTCCTCCTCCTCCTCCTCCTCCTCCTCCTCCTCCTCCTCCTCCTCCTCCTCCTCCTCCTCACACGGAGTCCCCGGATGTCTCGACCCTTTCCCCATGGGGGTGTTTTTTTCCGTCCTGGATCTATTCTTGATGGTTCCCGGGTCCGACAGCGGGCCCCGGAGGCCGAGGCTGAGGAAACATAGCCGGATTGGGAACATCTGATCCTCGGAGATTTGGACGGGCCCAGTTAGGGTCACCCCCCATTACCACCCGCCCGAAGAGGTTTGGGTCCTCCTCCGCACATGCCCTCATCCTCCAGCAACGCGCAGAGGGGGGTCGGGGGAGGGGGAAGGCTTCTTAGAAGCATCTTGCTTCTTGGAAGGCGCGGGCCTCAGCTGTAGTAGAGGTAGGGCTAGCACCTTCGAAGCAGCAGCCTCCTTCTAAGAAGCGTTCCCCAATCCGAGTCTCGGGCCGGACGAAAGGGGGGGATAGGGAAATAGGGGGGTACGAAATCTGCTGGATGCAGCTGGTTTCGGCCCCGCCGCCAAGCCCATTCCTCGATACATGGGCGCCTCCCGGCGCCGGGAGGCGCCAGGAAAATCGGCTACGTGAGCAGATTCCCTTTCGCCTGGCCCGAGAGCCCAATCCACTCCAAAGCCAAGGATGTGCCGTCGCCCAGCCTCCTGCCTGCAGGGGGGGGAGGAGGGGGGGGGTCGCCGCGGGCGCGAGCAGCCGTGCGCAGAGGTGCGGTGTGCGAGTGGTCGCGCCGCGGAGGAGGAGGAGGTAGGTGAGGAGGGGAGGAGGAGGAGGAGGAGGAGCAGGAGGAGGAGGAGGAGCAGGAGCAGGAGCAGGAGCAGGAGGAGGAGGAGGAGGAGGAGCAGGAGCAGGAGCAGGAGCAGGAGAGCAATCGCGACCCGCGGTGTGGACCAGGGAGCCGCATTCTCTGTCCTCCAACGGGGCACTTCCCTGGGTGAGAGCGTGTCCCTGTAGGGACTTGTGAAGAGGAAATTTGGAGTGAGGGCTTATTGCAGCATCCTTAATGGGTCCTGGGTCTGCACTGGTCCTCCTCCCCCTCCCCCTCCCCTTCCTCCTCCTCCTCCTCCTCTCCTCCTTTTTTTCTCCTCCCTTCCTCCTCTCCTCCTCCTCCTCTCCTCCTCGCTCCTCTCCTCCTCCTCCTCTCCTCCTTGTGCGTCGTCTCACCACAGATGAGGACGTATCATTCATCCTATACTCTCATTTTCGCCTTCCTCCTCCTCCTCCTTTTTGTTATTCTTTTCTGGCCCCTCCTCCTCCTCCTCCTCCTCCTCCTCCTCCTCCTCCTGCCTCCCAAATCTCCTCCTCCCACGCCTCCCTGCTCCTCCTCCTCCCCCAGAGGAATCGAAGTCCCAGACATGCTCGCGTCTTGAAAAAGCAGGACGGGCAGTTGTTGGCCGGTTTCGACCTCTGGGGGCCCTCGCTTCATCCCGGGACTATCAAAAAGCGATTCAGGATGAAAATTTGTCTTGGGGAAGGGGTCGGGACGTCCGGGGACCCCGCATCTAAAAAAGCAGTGCATCGCATGTCTGGGATAGGACCCTTGGCTGAGTGGAAGCACCGTTTGGGAGAGGGACGATCGAGGGGGGAGAAGGGGGGGAGAAGGGAAGAGGAGGAGAAGGGGGGGAGAAGGGGGGGAGAAGGGATGATCGAGAGGGGAAGGGGGGGAGAAGGGGGGAGGGGTGGAGAGGGATGATCGAGAGGGGGGAGGGGGGGGGGGAGAAGGAAGGTCCGGGGCAACCTGGGAGGGGGGATAGGCGCAGGGGGCAGCGTCTATGGATGTCGACCCTGGATCGTCCGCCCAGGCTCCCTCGCCGATCGACTTTAGAGGTCGCGACATGGCGTGTACCCCTTCCCCTCTGCCTCTGAAGTGTTGTCCGATCAGCATGCCCCACTTAAAATACAATATCTGTGAGCTCATGCGCCGATATATTTGAATCTGGCATGTCCCTCTACAGGATGAAAATTCAAAAATCGTCCAGAAATAGTCTGGGGACGATGTTTCTAGTATTTCTTCTATTCTCGAGCATGTGTTGGCTATGTTTTATGCTTCGTCCAATATCCGCCTTTCAGAGGACACGCCCGACCTAACGATCGATCGGCGATTGGTCGCCGATTCGAGGTCGATGTTTCTCCCCAGCAGGGGCAGGGGAGCGGTGGGAGGGGCAAGGCCCAGAAGGGGGAAGTGGAGAGCGGTGCGAAGGGCGGAGCGGGAGGGGAGGGGGTGGGGCCAGGGAGGGGGGGGGAGAGGGCGCGAGGGGCAGAGAGTCAGCGATGGTGGGAGGGGGGGGGGGGGGGCAGAGGCCAGCGGGCTGGCCAGGGACGAGGGGGTGACAGGCTGGCCAGGGGCGACGAGGGGGTGAAGAACGGAGAGGGAGAGAGAGAGAGAGAGAGAGAGTTTGGGTGTTGGTCCCGACGCCCGCGTCGCCCCCGCACCCATCCCATCTATGCCATCCTAACGTTTGGCCACCTCCACTGTAGCTCACCCATGCAACCTCCCTCCTCGCTGCCTTCCTTCATGTCACCGCTCGTTCCTACATCGGCTGTTGCGGTAGTTTGCCGTGTTGGCTTGAAAGGCCAAGTCGCGTGTCAATGAATTGTTTCCCGAGTAGGTCGGTGTGTGTGTGTGTTTTGTTGCCAGCGGACGCATAGTTCGGATGCGTGCAATGGTCTGGCAGTGAAAGCTCACACGGGTTACTCTTCCGCCAGAGGTCAAGAGCCAGTACACGGAGCTCAGTGACGTCGTGATGAATCTGCAGATCGAGCTCAAGAACGTGGGAGACGAGCTCGACGTTGTGAGAAACGATCTGGAGGATTACCGCGCAAGCATGGCAGGAGTACCAGTCCGCAGCAGACACATGTCCGCAGCAATGACATGTACAGTGGGGACGCATGCCAAGAAACACCTTGCTTGCCTCCAGGGTGCCCTGGGCTTCTTGGGTTCCGATAGTTGTGCTATGGAAAGCGTGACGTTCCCACACCAAAAATCAATGGACGTCCTGGGGTCTCAGGGTTGGGTTTCTTGTGGAAGGTTTCTGGAAGGTTTCTTGCGGTCGGGCCCCTACTGCACCCCACCAGACCAAGTCAGGCCCATGTCGGGCCCAGGACCCGCGCTATCGGAAGTTTGGGGCCACCACCTGTGAAAAAATACGGCGCCCCCCCCACCAGGAGATCTCATCTCGGCCTCGGCTCGCGTGGCGCGTGCGGGCCAGGCGAAGTTGGGAGAGATCGTCTCACATCAGTGCGCAGTTCACTGGTAGTGCGCTTCCCCCCCTCGCCCCTCCCTCCCCCTGTGTCAGGAGCGGAAAAAACGCACAGACAATTAATTGTCGATCCCCCCGAAAATATGGGAAAACATAGGAAGTGAGGAGAAGACGAAAACCACGGAAAATATTGGGAATATTGGGAATTGTGTCGATGTATGTGTGTGTCCTTGGGTTCCTTTATTGTGACGGGCGCGTTCCTCCAGATGTCCCACCGTTGCCTTGCGGGTGTCCCGCGGTTGTCCCGTGGCCCGCCACATTCCCCCATTGTTGCTCGTAGCCGTCGTGTAGCTCTCCCCGTTGTGCTACAATCGTGCCCCGATAATGTGCCGAGGGTGTCCCGATTGATTCGTGAACGTGCCCCGATGGTGGCCCGATTGGTAGAAGTATGTGGACGGGTTACACGAGTCAGACGGATTCATACATTGCCAATCCGACGCGAAGCCAGTTGCACATCGGATCTCCCACCCACCCACCACCCAGCATACTACTGACGCGAAGTGTCCGAGATTGCGGGGGAGATCGAAGCGGGACAGAGTCGCCCAACCGAGAAATCAATGTCGTGAGTGACCTGTGGGCGCGCGATGCGAGGCGAACTTGCGCGAGTTCCGGCTCTTAGAGAGGCCAAGTCAGACCAAAATGATTCGGACCGCGCCCAGCCGGCTCGGCTAACCCCGATGGTTGTCCGGATGATTGCTTAGATGGTTGTCCCGATGGTTGTCCCCATGATTGTCCGGATGGTTGTCCCGACAGTTGCCCGGATGGTTGTCTTGATGGTTGTCCGTTGTCTTGATGGTTGTCCCGATTGTTGTTTTGATGGTTTTTTGATACTGTTCTTGATAGTTGTCTTGAGTGTTGCCCCGGTGGTTGTCCTCATGGTTGTCCCGATGGCCTTTCCCAACGATTGTCCCGATGGTTGACCTCATGGTTGTCCCGATGGTTGTCCGGATGATTGTCCCAATGTTTATCTTAAAGGTATTTCCGATGGTTGCCCCAATTGTTGTCTCGATGGTCCTCCAGATGGTTTTCCCGATGGATTTGCGAGACCATAATACCCAAAAATGCTCCCTGCAAGACAAAAGAAAAAGCACCCTGCGGGGCAAACATGTGAACAGAAGTGCCCTGAAGGGAAAACATAGAAAAAATGATAGAGGTTGAAACGCATAGAGTCGCAGATTGAAATAGTTGGTGAGAAAGTAAGACAGATCGATAGATGAATCCATATATGTATATGAAGACTGCTGTGTATATATATATATCTTGATAAACAGCCATATAGGTAAATTGAAACAGTGTTATTGATTGTTGTCCCGATTGATGTTCCGAAACATAACAGATAGGTAGGTAGGTAGAGTGGTAGTGGTATATGTAGGCAGGTTGCTAATGATATAACGAACATAAATTGGTACCACGATATGTGTATATACAGACTACTTAATGCAGACATATATATATATATGTACATATACACATGCGTGCGTCTGACCAATTGTTCAGCGATAGAGGGATAGGCAGGTACATGATGAGAAGGAATGGCAGTGGAATCTACACATTGACATATAGATAAACCTGTGAATAGACTGGCCGATGGAACATCGAGGAAAATGACAATGACAATGAACATTAAGGTCCCGATATGCGTCCACTCGTGAATGTGTGTGTGGATGTGGGTGTGGGTGATTGGTGAGGGTGTGTGGCGTGTATGTGTCTGTGTATGTGTATAAGTATATGCATATGTATATGTATGTGTGTTTGTGTGCGTGTCGTGGGCTCGAGATGGTGATGATGTGTTTGATCGGTGTGTGTGTCTGTGGTGGTACATGTGCTCGGTGTGTTCTGCCCGTGCGTGTGTGTCATTGGTGCTTGACACTGGTGTATGGTTTTCACCCTCATTGTGGACGCATGGCATTTCTGTTGTTATGTGGTCATAATGCATGGTGCTGCTGTACGCGATTACTGTATGGACTGGTGCATGCTAGTGGTGTATGGTATTGGTAGTTGCGTATTTCCGCCTAGCGTGGGCACCTGAACATGATGTGCCTGAGTGGTGCATGCTGGTGTTGATTATTGGTGTACGCGCACAATGAACGTCAGTGATGTGTGATACTGGTGATTGTTATTGACGTATGTCATTCGTTGCCGTTCTTGGTGGTTGCTCTTCATCGTTGTTCCTGATGTTGTATCTTGGTGCCCGCGTTGCGCAGCGGGCCCCGTGTCGCATGAGCTTCGGCTGTCCCCCCAGGAGCGGTCCTCGACCGTGCAGGACACGGGGCCGCTGGTGAAGATGAAGGAGCGCGCCGACCTCACAGCACGATATGGCAGGCATATGTTTGTTTGCAAGTGGAGGAGGCTTGTGCCACCGCCTGTGGCCCAACCCCAAGACTTGAGTCGCACCCGGCACGATGAGCGTTTTATTGTCGGAGTTATCAGAGTTCCAGCGCGACCAGTGCTCGGCTCGGCCAAATTTGTTGCCGCCCATACGTTCTTGCAAGAATGAGCAAACTGTGGGGGGAGCAGATGTAGTTATTTAAGCAACCTGTGGGATTCCAACTCGCGATGTTCAGCCTGCCCGTCAGATGCTCAAGGGTTGCCGGAGATTCCTCGGGGGTTGCTCGGGGGGTTCTCGGAGTCTTCGAGGTTGATTTGCTTTGCGTTGATTTGATTAGGTTTTCGGAGTCCGCGTGGCTTATTTGCTTTGCATCGCTCTGCACTGCTCTGCAGCGCGTTGCATTGACTTGCGGTGCTTCGTATGCATGGCATTGGTTCGCATTTGGTTGAAATTGTTCGCAATGCTTGCATATGGCAATTTTGCTGTACGCTGCTTTCCATCTCTCGGCTGTGTCTTGTACGTTTTTGGATGAATCGAAATTGCGTAACATTGATTTGCGTTATGTTGCATCGTTCACCTGTGCATTGTGTTGCGTGCATTGTTTGCTGTGTCGCGAAACGCTATAGGCTGATGTGTCTCCAGGGCACCCTTCGCGAGGCCCAGAGGGCCCCAGGGGCCCCAACATGGGGCGAAAAGCTGGGGGCACCTTGGGCCAGGGGCACTTCGAGCAGCGCCCGACTGCTGCGGATGCAGACAGTCTTCCCCTCGGCTCGTCCCCGCTCCCACCGCCTTCTTCCATACGAGAACGGCCCCGCTCCCGCGCTCCCCGAGAGAGAGAGAGAGAGAGAGAGAGCGCGGGGCGGCCCCAGAGGCCGAGGAGCCGAGCGGGGCGGCCCGAGGAAAGGCTCTCCCTGCCTCCCCCCCTCCCTCCCTCCCTCCCTCCCTGCCCCCCCTCTGCCCCTCTTCCCCTCCCTCACCCCCTCACCCCCTTCCCCCCCCCCCCTCCCTCCCTCACTCCTTCTGATGTTCCAGCTTGCTTTAGCCTTGATCACCCGACGGAATTCTGAGCACCAGGAAAGTACCAAAACTTTCAGGTGTTCACGTGTCGAGCCCTCGGAGGCGATACTCCTTCGACACGGTTTCGATATTTTACTGGGTGCTCGAAAGTAGTTCTGGGATGCGGTCCTGAATTACGACGGGAACAACCTGATTCCCTCCCAGGGAGGGCATCGGGACGGGCCCCCAAGGAGGTCACTGGAAGAGCCCCGGCAGAGCCCCCTAGGACGCAGGGCCCCGAAAGAGAGAGATGCCCCCGGGGGGGGGCCCGCAGGCGGCGGACCCCGAGAGATCCCCGATTGGACTCGCGACGTGAGGCTGCGAGTCTCTCTTACGGGGCCACCTCGGAGCTCGGCCCTTGAGCTTCGGAGTCTGCCCCCTGCCGGCCCTGGTGAGAGAGCAGGGCTCGGGATTTTGGCAATCGCGCGTAGATCACCCGAGCAGGTGCTCTGGCGTTACCCCCTCATGCGGATGTCCTCCTCCTCCTCCTCCTCCTCCGCTTGCCTCCTCCTCCTCCTCCTCCTCCTCCTCCTCCTCCTCCTCCTCCTCCTTCCCTCCTCCTCCTCCTCCTCCTCCTCCTCCTCCTCCTCCTCCTCCTCCTCCTCCTCCTCCTCCTCCTCCTCCTCCTCCTCCTCCTCCCTCCTCCTCCTCCTCTCTTTTTTTGTCTCTCTCTCTCTCTCACTCTCTCTCTCTCTCTCTCTCTCTCTCTCTCTCTATATATATATATGTATCTTGCTATGGCGATGCATGACAACACGGGCAGGTGGAGCCGCAAGGCTATCACGTGGAAGCGGTGGACCGACAGCGTGGCTTCACCTGCACGTGATATCTGCGCACAAGAATGAGGATCCATCGTGACGGACATTCAATTATGGGAAGGTATGGAGGATTCCAACGTGTTCCGCACAGGGCGACGTGCAGAATATGATTCTGGCGCCCCAGCGCCACCGTTTCGCCCCGCGTAGGGACGTCCCATTGGGACGCTACAGGCGCAGTCTCAGCCTCAGCCTCCTCCTCCTCCTCCTCCTCCTCATCATCATCATCAGCATCATCATCATCAGAAGAACCTTCATCATCAACATCAACATCATCATCAGCATCATCATCATCAGCAGCATCATCATCATCTGCATCTGCATCTGCATCTGCATCATCATCATCATCAGCATCATCATCATCATCAGCATCATCATCATCATCAGCAGCATCATCATCCTCGTCCTCAT